TCGGGGCCGATTGTGTTTTTTTTTTTTTTTTTTTTCTAGGTTCCTGCAGAGAATGTGATCACACCTTCGAGTCATTACCATTCCATTACGCACACGTACTGTAGGGGAGAGTGCATGGGGTAAGATGTGTCGACATATACTCATGTTGTTCTCCAGGTAATTCAAAATGATATAGAGGTAAAGCTATATTTCATAATGCTTCTTATCAACTGAAATGATAAGAAACATCTATAAAATATGTGCTCAAGTGGCTCAACTTCCTGGGCCATGCAGGGTGAATTAAACAATTTAGTTTTAACAGTAAAAACATATGTTACAGATAAATGCTGAAACATAATGTATTATACTATTCCAAAATACTTGCTCATACTAAGCATTAGTAGTTTGAACTTCTGCTTGTCCCACACTGTAACAGACATGAATGATGAAACCTCAAATCCTGGGGCTTGTTTTATTTCTCTAAGCCACTGAACATATGATCTTATGTTCATGAAATCCATATATAAAACTTATATTGAACACTCAGAAAAAAGGTACAAATGCTGTCACTGGGGCGGTACCTTCTCAAAAGGCACACCTTTGTACTTAAAGAGTCCATATTGGTACCTTAAAGGTACAAATTAGTACCTAAAGTGTACATATTAGTACCTAAAAGGTACAAAAGTGTACCTTTTGAATAGGTACCACCCCAGCGACAGCTTTGTACAAAAGTGTACCTTTTGAAAAGGTACCACCCCAGTGACAGCTTTTGTACCTTTTTTTTCTGAGAGTGAAGGAAAGACAGGAATAGAGGCTACTTGCATTATCTGCAAAGCATTCATTTAATAGTAATGTTCCAATGTTTAAGCAATGAATCAATAAAAAAAAAATTTCAGCTAAGTAAATAAATATGAAAAACATTTGAGTTAGGTTGCTCACTGTCACCGTACAGGTCCCCAGTTTGACTCCAGACTGGAGGTCTTTCTGTGTGGAGTTTCCTCCTGGTGCTCCGGTTTCCGGTTGTGAATTACAGACACTAAATTGCGAAAGTGTGAATGCGTGTCTGTATGTCTGACAGCTGAGATGGGCTGGCCATCCATTCATGGTGTTTTCCAGTCTATGGCTCAAGAAGCTGGAAGAGGCTCTAGTATCTGACCCTTGGAGAAAGGATTCAGTTCAGCAAAAGTAATCATCCTAATTTCTGTAAAGTGACAAAAAGGAGAATAAAAATGGAATTCTAAAGAAATATCTAATGTGGCCATATATAGAGTGCTGCGTTGTAACTGATTACATGTAATCTGGATTACTTGTAATTAGAGTAGATTACATTTAAAAATGCTCATAATCAGATTACAGTTACTTTCTATGGATTACATCATTACATTATTCACACAGCGGTTGTAAATTATTCATAATATTTTGCTTTTGCCTTCTAAATGTTCTTTTCTAAAAACCCTACTGTGCCATACCATTTAGCTTTGACATGCTTTTGAATTTGAGGGAAAAAAGCACCTCTCAAGCAATTAGACCATGTATGAAACAAATTAAAATTATGCAAGTTATTAAACACTGGTGATGTATTGCTGTGAAACACTCTGTCTTCATCATATCCAGTGACCTCCAGGAACTCTTGATTCTGGAAGTCTGGACAATAATATTTGAAACCGTGTCTTTGGAGGTGTCGTTGTTGTTTTCATGTTTATTCATGTAATGCAGGGATTTGCAAACGTTTTTGTCAGACAAACACCATAAAATAAAATATTTACTTGAAATATCTCTGAGGAACTTAATATTTAAAATAATTTAACAACACATTCAAGTGTTTAAAATATTTGTATTTTACATTTTCATGATTTTGTTAATTATTATCTTTTTAACAACTCACAAACCCACTGCAGTTGTTACATTAAGCCCAGTTTGGGAAACCCTGGTTTAATGTAATGTTTAATGCATTTTATGATGTTGATAATAAAAAATGGAATATATTTTCTTTCTCTTTCCTTTTGTTATACCAATATGGTATATTTCATGGTAAGTTTTAGACGGAGCCGAACCTCCCTATAAATACGCAAGCTGCGTAGGGCCTCCGAAACACCAGGGGGCCCCCTTGTTCTCAAATTTGATTCGTTTTTGAATTTGGCCAGCGGTTATGAAAACATGAATGATGGGCTACTGTAAAACACGCATTATCTGAGCTGGGAGGAGAGCAGCACACTGCTTTGTCCCCGCTGTCAGCTGTGGCAGTGTCGCCGCGTTTGATGGAGATTAATGAAGTATCAGGAGAGTAATACGCTTCTTCGAGCACTCTTACAATCTGGAGGAACGGACCATCCCCTTCTTAAATAGCAAAGCTGTCAGCGCTGAGAGGTGCAGAGGTGTACAGGGCTCGCGAGAAGAGCAGACACAGATAATGCAGGTGGGAACGGGCCGCTGGCCTCTCGGCAGGTACCCATCAAAAGCTAATTCCCACTACGCGCCCTTGTTTGAATTCGTAAAACAATAGCATGCTTCTGAGAGCAGCGTGAAAGTATTTCATTTAAGATAATGATGATGAGGTATGAAAAGTAGGCATTTGTCAATACATTATATTTGCACTCTCCGCTCGCGCACGCTCATAAAAATGTCCATGTGTTATTCACACGGCATCTGAAATCCCTGTGGGCGACTGTACCTCTTCCCCTGTCAATTCCCATTCAGACGTACAGCTAAAATGGAAATCACTCTCTTTCATTTGAGTATTCACACTTCCCGAGGAAACAAAATGACTCCCATCAGCTCCTCGTAGGCACCGGGCCTGTTTGTTCCCTGTCCGGCCGAACTCAAAATAATTGACTTGAAGTGCAAATACGAACGAGTTTATGCATTCTGCTTCTGAACGGCGCACAATTAATTAGAAGAATCAATGTTCCTTTTAAAAACCCAGGAGACCATTTAATCCGAGCTCAATACCGCCAGACTGGCTGGATGGAGGGGGACACAGAAAAAAAATCAATGGCTATTTGTGAATCGTGAGTACGTATTAAAGGCGGCCTCGTCTCACTGCTTCATTTGCACTTGAAAGCAGCCATCTGGAGCAGCAGGCTTGGCTTAAGCAGATATGATTACTAATAATGTGATATAGCCGTACACTGGCCTATTCAAATGGCCTATTCCCACTGCTGAAATGAAAAAGCTCTGCTTTCTGCCTTGGGAGAAGTCAGGGACGCACACATGCAGACACAAACACGCACGTCTGCATACATATAAACAGCCTGCGAGCGTTGAACTGGAGTGGGAGGATAAAGAGACGCACCGAGGGGCCTTCAGCAGTTTAGCATCACTGACAGTCTCTGAACTTCAATGCATGAATGCACGTGTTTACTTAGCTAGACTTTAGTTGGCTAAATCTGACACAACCTCCGTTTGGGGTTCTGGGATTCATAAATATTGCAAATAAGATTTCTTATAGCGGGAAGTTTGGTCTGCTCTGCAGTTAGCTTTATATAAAAATGCCAGAAGTCCATCTATTTAGTTTAGATTTATTTTTATTTAGCTTATTTATTTAGTTTAGACCGCTAAGCGTGTGACACCACAGCAGAATCTATAGACAGCACCTTGACATGCTATGTATCACCATACATACAAAAACTATATTTATATATAAATAATAGTAATTTTCTTCGGTATATTTCAACAAACAAAAGTGAGTTGACATGCTTATGTTACATGATACATGCTTATAGTCTAACATGCTGATTCTGGCAAGGTCCTCTCAAAGTTATGAATAAATATTCTTCCAGTAACATTAATCAAACATTGTTCAAATCTGGTCTTTAATAATGTTCTCAATCTTACTGAGGTTCAAGGTTCTTTATTTGTCACATATGACTTACATGTAGTGAAATGTTTTCCCCTATTCCTCGTCCCACAGTAGCTACAACAACAAAACAACAAGTTAAGGACATACATACATATAATAAAAATATATATTTAGAGAGAGAGAAGGCAGAGAGAAGAATGGAGTATAAATAATTTTACAAAATATGCAAAAACTATATGTACACAGATCAGATTTATTCATTTATGGAGAATCTTTCTGAAACGTTTTAGTTGGACGTTCAAGTATCTATTCTAAACGATACTACTTGCTACTGGTTTCAGAATGTTCAGAGGACGTTTAAAATGTTCTCAATATTTGCAAAAAATATCAAATGAAACATTCCCTTAATGTTTTCTCTAATCACAATTAAGTTGCAATTCACAAAGTTGGCAGTTACAAAAATGGATGTTTTGAACATTCAGAGAACATTTAGAAATAACGTTTTCATAAATACACATATTTGTCACATATTTTTGTTAGCTGGTGGTCCCTTAGACTTGCATTGTAAGTGAATTTCTGTCAACTCTCAAACTGTTAAAGGGGTCATATGATGCTGCTAAAAAGAACATTATTTTGTGTATTTGGTGTAATGAAATGTGTTTATGCGGTTATGTGCGTTGTGATTGGCCGAATGCCTCAAGCGTGAGACGGAAATGTTACGCCCCTTGCCATACTGTGATGCCGTGTCCCGGCTCGACGAGTCAAAAACATTAAAACCCATTACAAATGAGGCATTTGTTGCATCCAGTGGGGACATAATTACTGATTATAAAGACTTATACGTTGCGTTGCATTGCGTCGCGTAAACATAAAACCATGTCTGCATTTGTGATCGGTGAAATGACAAACAACAAGCGCTACTCTACACTGCTCAAAACTCGCATTTGAATCGTCAGTGACAAATTCTTTAAATATGAAAACGTGCTTGCAGTCTGTGAGTCAGAACAGACGCATTGTAGTCTACTCTCCCAGGATCAGGAAACAGTCCTCCATAAAATGCGCTGCACACATCTGAATATTTGGGTTGAACTGTTCTGGAACAGTGTTGTAAATACAACTTAACCACTGATTTCTTGTCGTTTCCTCTTTTGGAAGGCCAAACAAAGTAGTTTCGCTTTCACAACGAAACACACAGTGTCTCCACGACATTGCGGCGGCGGCAACAATATTACAGCGAGAATCAAAGTTACGCCTTCTTTCTTTGCGTGAACATTTGGGGCGGCGTTATGCAAATCTTCCCACATCGTGACATAGACATGTGGGGGCGTTTAAACGAGAGGTTTTAGGAGGGCGTGGACCAGTCTTAACTTTTATAAAGAACATCTCTTTGGATTTGAGACTTTAGTCTTTGCAACTTTAGGGATTTTATCTATTCACAAACAGCTTGTCACACTCCAGAGAGAAAGGAATACTTGAAATCGCATCATATGACCCCTTTAAAATCACCAAATTGCATAAAAATTATTTCTATATAAAAGTGAAATTATGTCTTATTTATCACATAACATCCTGGATTTACGAGGGATATACTGGATGAATGGAGACAGCTAGAGTATATTTAGAGATTACAATGAGGACAACAAACCGTATGTGTCAGATCCCTTGGGCTACTGCTAATAAGGGTTAAAGGGCTGTCTCAATTACACACACATACACACAGGGATTACTGCCTAAAACGCTTTAACTCAATCTCCTTCAGGCTACTGATTAATCTGAGCCATCCTGATAAAATACCACTTAACATATCTCAGTGTATACATTGAGTTAATTTTTTCATACTTTAAACTGATTTATAAATGCAAAGTGGATTGTGTTATGACTTTTCCAATTTTACTAACCAGGCGTATAATATAGTGTAATATTTAAAGGCGTCCTATTATGCTTTTTCACTTTCTTAATTTTAGTCAGTGTGTAGTGTGTATGTTTTGGCATAAAAAAGACCTAGAAAGTTACTAATCTCAAAGTCTACTCCAAAGGGAGATATTTCGTTTTTTCAAAATCCCTTTTCAAGAACTACAACGAATGGCTCGTTTGGACTACAGCGTTGGTTTCCGGGCTTTGTGATATCACAAAGCGGCCCATTAGAATATCATTAAAAATAATTCCCGCCTACAGAAATTCGAATGGTTGGGGG